TTTTTGCCCCAGTGCCAGAGCCGGGCGTGGGCATGGGCACCAGCCATGCGAAGACGAGCGAAGGCCTCGCAGTGCTCCTCCTCGGTTAGGAGTCTGGCTTTCTCCTTGTAGCCATTCAGGGTGGGCATCACTGGTCCCGTCAGCTGGGTGGCCACCTTGAGTTCTTCAGCAGAGTTGTCTCCGTTCTTGGGGCCGAGGGCTCCCCCGGGAAGAAGCTGAGTTTGAAGCAGCACTCCAGCTGCATGTTGGCCTGCAGGGACTCCGTGGACTTGTTCTGCCTTGTGGGCCCACAGAGACGCTAAAGGTCTGGGTCACCTTCTTGTGGATGGCAGCCACCCGCAGCTTCTCCAGGCTGAAGCCCCTTCTGGCGCGCACTTACTCGGGTGTGGTACTGCGTCAGGGGCACCTCACAATGGGCCCGATGGGGCTGGACACTGGGCACAGGGCTGCTCTGGCCTGCCAGATCTTGGGACTGTAGTCTTCTGTGCCCGCCAGTTGAACCAGGTATAGAAGTGCGGCTTCAGGATCATGCCATTCCAGCTGGGAGGCATAGCTGTCTATGGCCTTCCTTCATGGGAGAATAGCGATGGGGCGAAAAGCTGCTTTAGAGTTTTGTTTTGTCAAGAATTATTTTATTGGGAACCAGCAGTTAGTGTAATGGCTATGTCGCTGGACTCCCACGTAGTTGACCGCAGTTTGCGTCCCGGACCCGGTGGCTTAGAACTCACGCCGGGCGCGTGTACGTGCATGCCCAAGATCCTGAGAGGAGAATGGAGGAGAAGGGATTGCAGCATAGACCATCCCCTCTGGGGGGGGTGATTTCTCGCTTTCTGTCTCTATGTCTCTCTCTGTCTGTCTGGCAAGCACACGCACCCTATAGTGAAAACCTCTCCAAAAAAAAAAAAAAATTACTTTATTGACTTTTGTTTTTTTTAACCAGAGAGGGACAGAGTGAGAGAGAGACAAAGTGAGAAAGCAAGCTGCCAGGTTCAGAACTCAAACAGCAGTCAGCCACGTGGGAGCCCAGCGTCCTTAACTACCATGCCACCTGCCGGCTTCCGAGACAGCTTTCCCCTTATGTCCTTGGAGTCCCTCAACAACTTTATTAGCTACCTAGGCAAGGCAGGGCCTCCCGTTCCCATATTGAAGAAAAGGATATTGAAGTCTCTGGTGTCCTGCCCCAGGTCACATAGGGGTTAATTAGTGCCAGAATTAAGATTCATGCGGGACTCGGGCTCTGCCTCTCTTCCCACGTGGCAGGGTGTTGAGCGTCCCTCAGTCCCTCCTGTCCTTTCTTTCCTCCTAATCTTCAATTCCATGGCCAGTCAGGGTCCCTTCCTTGAAAAACCCTCAACTCTCTCTTTAAAGTTTATTTATTCCATCCATGAGTAAGAGGGGCAGAGTCTCGATACTGTGAGTCACCCTTGGCTTCAGCCAGTGGCGGGTCATGGGCACATGTGCCTGGTCTACTCAGAGCGGTCTCTGAACGTGAACTTGGGACCTTCCCACGTGGGTCAACCTCGTGTGTTTTCCCACTGCACCGCCATCCCCTCACGTCTCTGGCCTCCCTCTAGCTTCAGCCTCCTTGTATGATGAAACCACAACCTGGTTAAATCTATTTCTTCACCAACCCTGTGCTTTCACTCACCCAGCACTGGACAGCGTCTGCAGAAAACCCCAGAACCATGCGGTGATCTACCAACGTACAACCACCCGTGTGAAATGATCCCCAACGCTGGAGACCACACTGCATTTCCTCCAGAAAGCAACCTCAACCAAGAATAGGACTGCCAGATTTAGCAAATAGAAGAATTCGTTTAGTGTGGGATCAGCAGTTAGCGTAATGGCTATGTTGCTGGCTATGTCGTCGACCATGGGTCAAGTCCCGGACCCGATGGCTTAACCTCACACCGGGCACATATGCATGTGTGCCCAGGATCCCAAGAGAAGGCTGGAGAAGAGATTATAGCGTTACCGTTCCCCCCGGAGGTGATTTCTCGCTTTCTGTCTCTCTGTCTCAATCTTTCTGGCGAGTGCACATGCACTATAGCAAAAATTCTCTCCAAAAAAGAATTTGTTTAGTGTACCCAGCTATTTTTTAAAAAACTTTTGTTCATAATAGAGCTTGTACACACACATGAGAGAGAGACAGAGAGAGAGAGAGAGATAAAGAGAGAAGCCCCCTTCACAGGGTCTTGTCTCACCAGGATCTCCTCCCTCTAGCCTATCAGATCTGGGGTACTCTCACACATCCCCCGACCAGGCCGGAGATTCAAACTGTGGTCGCCTCGTGGAATCTGACTTCTCTTGAGCATTATCTCTGCACCATGGAGCCAGCGACAAATAAAATAATTTCTATCTTGCAACCTTACCCAGGAAGAGGCTGCCAACGTGAAATTTCAGCCACTACGGCAAACAGTCGGGAGCTGTTTTGAGATAGGGTGTTTTGTTTCTTTTCAGAGCCTGCCTCATTACAGTATGTCAGAGGATGACCCGGAATCTCAAGATGGCTCAGTCTGGCTTTGAACAGGGACAGCTATCTTCAAAGTCAGAGCTCTTCTCTCTCATACCTAGAATTAAGAGGCCCAGAAAGAAGACAGAGCCAACAAATACTTCAAAGGTAAGAAAGTCCAACCTCCTCCGGGGTTGGTCCATGAAGCCACAGACCTCAGGGGTCATCACCCAGATGGAGGGATTTCAGGCCCAGGAGGCTTCCTGGAGCCTCATCGTCTCTCGTGTAGCACTTAAACTCCTAATCAGGTTTTGGAATTGGACACTTCAGAGTCAGCCTAGGAAAAAAAAAAACAGAAAAAAAAAACTGTCCTATAGCAGATGGATGTCCCATGATGTAAAACAAAGTAAAGACAGATTTTTTGTTTTCTTTTTTAGAGATTTTTGCTATAGGGTACATGTGCTCTCTGGAGAGACAAAGACAGAAAACAAGAAATCACCTGCCAGGGGGGTTGGCCATACTGCAATCCCTTTTCCTCTACTCTCCTCCTGGGAGTCTGGGCACACACGCACATGCACTCAGCATGAGTTTCAAAGCTGTTAGGCCTGGGACTCGAACCACAGTTGGCCATGTGGGAGTCCAGTACCTTAACTACTATGCCACCTGCTGGCCCCCTAAAGACAGATTTTTAAGGCATTTTAATGTATCTAAGTTTTAAAATAAGAGGTAGTCAATACTCTTTTTTTTTTTGGAGAGATTTTCACTGTAGGGCGCGTGCGCTCGCCAGACAGAGAGAGACATAGAGACAGA